TTGCTTGTGAACAGTTACATTTATTGAAAAAGTTGGATAAAAATATAAAATCACCATGATAAGAGAGAGATGAGACACAATAGCCCGAATGCACACAACAATAAAAACACGCTAATATACAAAAACAAATGGGTTTACAAGGCTAAGGAGAAAGGTTTACAAGGCTAACCTCTGCCTTGTAAGCCCATTTGTTTTTGTATTTTAACGTGTCTTTATAATACCATCACAGACCATGATCGAAATTATCTGTTGATTCGGAATTAATTCCCTCGAGACTTTAAATCTCAACAACTCACCTTTGTTTTTTAATTTATTTAGGAGGTAGACTTCACTTGTAAATGCTCTAGGTACTTAGCCGCACAATTTATTACAGTGGTAAACAACACTTACAGCGATTGAGACGGAAGCCAGAACGGCCGGAGGTTCAGGCGGGGGGGGGGGGGGTTTAAAAAGGGGGGGGGGGGGGGTGCGTTTAAAAAAGGGGGATGAGAGAACACTGATCCAACGACGTTTCGGAGGGCGGGCGGTGAAACGCGCTACCGAAAGGACACCGACCAGCGGAGGCGGTGCAGCTACCGACTAAGAGCGCGGTGCCACCAGATCCGATTGGATTGGAAATGAGACGGAATTATGCATTAAGGACTCGAAAAGCAACAAGGACGCAACGAACGGTAGCGAGTCTTGCCTTGCGTGGCGTCACAGAGTTTCTATGGCTACCCGCCTCGGGATTAACTGTTTCTGCGGGGCTGATCTGACAAGCCCCCTTGCCCGGCCGGGAGCGGGATATGGTCGTGAGTCTGCCACGGAAACACCCTCCGCCGCACAATGGATCGGGTCAATGAGAGAGGTCGGACAAAATTTGGAAACTTTAAGAGCTTATAACTCTGTCTATACAAATTTTGAGATTCTAAAAGTGGTTTCATTGGTTTTCTCGTAAAAAATTGTTCTAAAGGCATTCATTGAAATTTAAAATGTGACGAACTAAACATCAAAATTTGCAATTTCAGTCATAGTTCAGTAAATAAAAGGTTTTAAAAAACATTTTTTTTTCACTCACTTGCGACGACTTTTTCCATTGGCAGACGCGTTTCGAGCAAAGTGCGGCTCATCTTCGGTGCGACTCCCTTGCTCCCTTACGATGAGCCGCACTTCGCTTGAAACGCGTTTGCCAATGGAAAAAGTCGTTGCAAGTGAGTGAAAAAAATTGTTTTTTAAAACCTTCTACTTACGCGAAAACTTGAGCTGTAATGAGCAACCTCATTTTATTTTACAAAAATGTTATGTCCGGCTTCTCTGCTTGACTCGATCCCCTGTGCGCCGCGCCCCGCTGTCTCCACTCCCAAGTCGCGACGCAACCCCCTTAGCTCTCGTTACCCTCTAGGGTGCACGGTCAAATGGGTCAATTCCATAAATCCTCAAAGCATGCTGCCCAACCAATTGACTCACTAATGCCGCAACTCAGTCATATTTAGGGGTCCATAATTGACGTCAAGTCTTGGGGGAGAGGGAGGTCAAGCCGAATCCAACGTCAAGCTAAACTCGACCATTTTGCAGCACATTTCGATCGGAGACGTTATTTTTTCAGGTGGGTGACTCTGACCTGACGTAATTTTTTAGGGGGGACTCAACACAGCCTGGCTTATACCCAGCGTGTAGAGGTGAAAAAGTGGGGTAAGAAAATCGGGGGAAAACCTGACGTCATTTTGGAGACAACGTACAAGTGCAAGAAGTTATTGCAAGCGAGCACTCTTCAAGAGCAAATTTGTCTTTTAAAGTTATGCTGTTTGATGCTTGGAAGTAGTAAATCAGGAAGTTGTGCTGTGCTGATGGTGGGTACCTAAAGTTTAACCCGAAACGCGCCCGCTGGTCGTAACTATAGGTAAAGTGGCTCCAGGCAGCGGAACTCGAAAAAGTAAAAATTACTCTCAGTGAGTTCTTTTTCCCCTTTATGATTATTTTTGTTATGCAGAAACAACCACCGATAGCTGTGACGTATTACAACTCTGCCTAGGCGAAGGTGGAAAATTCCTGTACCTAGTGGCGTTACATACCTACATAACTAACAACAATTTTGAGGATCCATGGCAATCTTGGCAAGTTGGCAACTCTGTTTTCACTCTATATGAATACATGTTAAACAGCCGATTTTAGGTAAGGCAGCTTGCCTTAACTAGAGTCGATATTTATGACTAATTTAAATGGAAGGAAACCCTGGTTGGGTACCGACTTGCAGGAATCGTGACCGGCAGGGATCCGCGCATGGCATTCATGCTCCTTCAGAAAGAAGTGAAAATACTTTGCACTAGTCCGACACATTACGTTATCAAATGGTGTTTGTATTTATTTATTTATTAATTTTTATTTATTTTTTTTTACAAAATCCAGCAACGCCGATCGTCACGTGTTTTAAGCGTGCTATCGCCTGACAATCGGACGTGAATATGAATGACGTCAAGAAAAGGGGCAGGCTTGAGAGAAGTAGGGGGAGGAGGGAGGTGCGTTTCGCAGAAATGCCGTGAAGCACGCAATGTCACGCGGAGACTTCTTTCATCACGCTCCGAAGTGTAAATGAATCCTCTATTTCGAAAATAACGGACGTGCGAAACCACGTAAGTTCCAGCGTCTTTTCTGTGCAATGAGTGCTGGAGCTCATGAGTTATTTCAATTGCGTCTTTTTGTAACGGGCGCTCTTTTTCATAGTGTGTTCGGGCAAGGTGAGGAGGCGTGGTTACAACCCTATCCTCCCTCGCAACGAACCTTTTACCCCCTACACACGGATTTGGAGTTGCCTGAAATTCGACCGAATGACCGACACCAAAAAATGTGCTGTAATTTAACATCCAAGATAGCTCACGATGTTGATTTAACGTTTACGTCATATATTCCAGAAGCAAAAGTTACATCGGGCAGAGGTTAATCAGCACTCACGGTTGCCGTCGGTTGCCGCACATTTTTTCAACATTTTCAAAGGATTGCTTTGCACCTTCTCATGCAAGTGATGCAACTATTCTGGCGCCATGAATGTCTGTGTTGCATACGCACGAAAGTGAAGGCGTTTTGACTGTCGAGGCACTCATCACTTCACCGGTGGCGCGGCGCCAGCTGCGCAGTGTTCTTGAAGCAAAACATGTACCCAACAACGGTTTGCAGTGGGTGAATCTATGGTGCGTGTAGACTTCGAATTGCAAAAAAATCAAAATCTTGGCTGATCCAAATCGAGATGATCGAGATATCATAATTTGAAAGGGTATCCCTCTTATCCCAGAGTAAGGGCACCAAAATGACCCTCCTCGGATTTTGAATTCGTTGAAACCCTTTCAGAAGGTCCTAAAACCATGGTTTTGGGCAATTTTCACCTCCCGAACGGCTGTGGTTACATATTGAACCAATCGATATGAATATAATCTCACCTGTGTGATCTGTCGAATACGATCTAGAAAAACTATCAAGTGAACGTAACGGTGGAGGAGGAGTGTATGAGACGCGTTTACTCGTGTTGGGCACATTTTTTGTGAAAGCCCTGTCAACACCAACAAAAGTTCAGTTCCGTAAACCCATCCCTGTTTGGACAAGGCCTTCCATATATAAAAAATGAACGAAAAAACTATGAAAGAACAAACATAAATATGGTTAATAATTTTAACTTCCACCGCCGCGCCGACCGCACTGTGTTGGCGCAATGCGTGAAGTATCCATGCAGTCTTGTAGGCGCTATGCGTTTCACGCCGACCGCTGCTGATCACGCTGGTTGGCGCAATGCGTGAAGTATTCATGCAGTCTTGTAGGCGCTATGCGTTTCATGCCGACCGCCTCACCGCTCCGTTCCAGGTCAAATTGCGTGTTTGGTTTCTCTCTTAACTCGGCTAACTAAAGGTGTTATTGTCTCTTGTATCACCGAAAGACGACAAAATTAGAAATTAATATACTTTCACTCTCAGGAAATGAGAGATTTTGTCGCCTTTTCTCGTTTGTAATTTATTTTCTGAATCCGATTTTTTCCTCTCTCTTTTTGATACCTACATTCAAAAAGATTGCAACATTTGCCGCCCTTTACTTTTTGCCGCCATGGGCCGCGGCCCACATGGCCACCCCCTTAATCCGGCCCTGGTATTCGCACGTTTTATTTTCCATCTAATGCGGTTTTCGATAAAAATGCACCAAAATTTGTACAAAAAGTTCGACGACTTTCCACAGAAAATTCCTCATAGTAAATTTTTGAAGCACTGGGAATTCTACATGTACCATAGATTCAGCCCCTGCAAACCGTTTTGGGGTACAATTTTGTCGTATTTCTTTACTTTTTTGCTTCAAGATCATTGTGGTGTTGGCGCTTCTTCAGTCTTGGAAGGAAGTTCAGTTTGTAGCGCAGTGTATTTAATTTTGCATTCAAACTTAGTTTATCGTGAAAAGTTTTTTGAGAATCCCCCATATAAATACCATAAAATACAACTTTCTATTGGTAACAATATTTACTAGAGAGCTAAAATGTTTTTCTAAGTGTTGTATTATATGGTTGTTATAAAGTCGCCCTCAGCTGCATCTGCAGCGATTGTTATTACGAATATGCTGTGCATGCTGATTTCAGCTCATTACATACATGATTCTCTGAAGGCGTTGTACGTGGGAAAATAGAGCACCCTGTTGGAGTCAGCAGAAGTGAAATTGAATGAATCGCTCAATCCCTCCTTTGTTCGTTCTCCAACAGATTGCCCTACTTGCGCTCATTGCCATACCCACAACATATGTTAGGCATGTAGCTTTATGCTAGCAGCTGGGGTCACAGAACTACCGATTTAAATTTACGTGTTTATTTGTTTATTTATTTCATTTCGATTTTTTTACTTTTAAACACGAGTAGATAGTTATGGCCTTTAATAATCATCAGAAACTAAAAATTATAATTTTCAAGCTGAACACATTTATTTCTTACATTGAAAAATACAGTATTTTCATAACATTTCTGAGCAGGAAAAAAAAGGTGAAAAAAAAATAAAATAACATTGAGACAAATAAAAAAAGTATATATCTTTAAACATGTTTAAATTAATAAATACATACAATGATACTGATGTTCCTGAAAACTTAGATAAATCAAAATCTACTATAAATTCGTACAAAAAATAGAGGATGTGCAGACAACAGTCTCGGATTTAATTATGTACCTAACTTTATATAATTCACAGTGGTAAGATGGAGGAATAGTTTCGTTTTAAGAACTTTAGGTCTGGAACAAATTTAAATAATTTATTGATAATATGTACAAAAGGCGAGAGTAGGAGAATGAAAACTTTGGCCACTTAAAATGATTTTTCTGATAGATGCATGTTTCGAAAAAATAACAAGTAGGGCAAAGAAAAATATCAGATAAGTAAGATTGAAATTACAACTTAAACAAATAGAAAATTACACAAATACCAAAATTCTTTTTCAAAAAAGTTGATAGAAAAATGTGGTCGATACGGACACAGAATATTGTTTTGAATTGAGACGTTAATTCTCTATCAATGAGTACAAAAATTGTGTTTAGTCAGAAGGATGATCATAAAAAAATATATCATGGGAAACATTAAGGTTGGGGGAGAAAGTGAGAAACATTGATTAAATACAACAAATGCAACTGTGCAAAATGTTCCTGTCCTATGGATCATTCCAATAACCGATTGAAGAGGAGCAAGTGCTAGTAATTAAATATGCATGGTGAATGGAAAATGGTTGACTTTCTGTTTATGAAGAGTTAACTTTCAACTTTGGATGATCCAACTATCAAGCTTCGATGTGTTTATTTGGTATGAATCAGATATTTTCAAGATGCAGAGATCAAAAACTGATAGTTTTTCAAAGTTTTTACTGTTAAGAACATTATAAAAAAAAGAATAAACCAATATGGACTTAGGACATAGCGTAAACTTGGCATACCCACTGCAAGCAGTTGGGAAGATCTATGAAATTGAGAGAGCAATACAAGTAGTGCGTTTTTTGAGAAATTTAAAAATTGAACTTAGACAAAACTGCAAGACAAATAATCAGTCTATAACTCATCTCCCTGATTCCAAAGTATTGAGAGAAATTTGAAGGAAAGGGCTGTGCCTCATCAATCGATGAGCGATGAGGCAAAACAAAGCAAAAACAACTCAAATTTACAAATTTACATTAAAAAAAAAAATTATCCATTTACCGCACACTCATACTCATGATAAACTTACAGATGGTTAGATACTTGTGATCTGAAACAGTTCCATAAAAAGAGAAGAAAATTCACCTGCTGTGAAATTACTGAAATAAAAAATCATCGAAAGATTTACCATTTCTTCTGAGGCAGCCGACTTACAAAATTATGACTAGAATTAAAATCGTACCAAATTATGTGTCAACATGTGTCGATATGGAATTTTTTGGTAGACTAGGTATCATTCACTCTACAACCCGTCGAGAATCAAACTGAGGGCTGACAAAAAGCGACTTAAAATAACCGTATCATTGCATTCATATTTTTGAAAAGCTTGGGACATATTTCTATGCTGATTTTTTTACAAATGAAAAGTAGACTGTACAAGTTAGATTAGATATTTAACATATTCACAATTTTGAGTTTCAAGCATAATATAACATCATTTACAAATCCATGCTTTTCTTTAACAAACAAAAATTATTTTTTTTATGTTTTCCAAAAGAAAATTTTGATTCAGTTTCGTTCTTTAAAAATCTGATTTGACTAAACAGCCATAAAATCGACCTAACTTAAGTTGTACATCAGTCAAGCACAACACATTGCAGCAGTTACGATGATTATGAAAGAACATGAAGAGTTAAAGCTTCCATGTCTTACAATTAGAGATTAATTATTATGAACATGAACATGACTGGGTATGCGAGTATGATAAAGGAAGTTGGCAGATTAAGGTATTCAAATGTATTTCCATTGTCATTACATAAAAGTGATTTTACCCTCTTTCGCAATTTGTCAAGTCTTTAGAGGGACGAGCTCAGATTCAAATCCATATTAAACAATAAATTTATTTGCATCCAATATACAAATGGTTCAAACAAAATTTCGAAATCAAGTACTTTTCAGGACTGCATAGACTACGTACGATGAAACTTACATTCAGAAAGATACCTATGGTTATTAGAAGTTGTCATTATTATTTCCTTTTAATGAGCCTCAGTTTCCAGATAGTTTCATTGAATCATTCATTGGAGTGAGCTCTGAATAAATTATTCTTTTTCCAAATCAAGCGCAAAAAAGGGGGATGATTTCAGAAAGTACAAAATACCCTGAAAAATCTTTTTTTTTTTAAAGGAAAATGTGTTATTAGATTATTACTAAGTTTCAATTCCTAAAACTGAAGGTCTAAAAAGAATTGAGGTTGCAAAAATTGTTGAATTATGTTTTGGATCAGACATGATCATGGGATCAAAACTAAGGCTACTGTGAAAATGCATTGATGAATATGTTTTGACAACATTTTGGACTGTTGAAACCAGCTTAATCCAACTTCAATCACAGAGAGTTAAAAGACACAATAATTTAATAACTTCCAGGTAGGGAAAACTTTTGGAATACAAATCCACACTGACCAGGTGACAGAAACTTTTTGATCTCATTTTATGGAAAAAATTGCATCAGATATTGAATTGAAAATTTAAATATTTACATGCAGTTCAAGTAAAAATTACCTACTTGAAAATCAGAATAAATAAAATTCTGCAGCAGATCATGACAAAAATAAGAGCCATCTACATGATCAAATAAAAAACATAACTTCTAACATAAACAAACTAACTTGAATCCAAATAAGTTAAAAATACTGGACGGTACGACTTACCTCAAAAAAAGAAAAAAAAAGGAGAGCAAAACTGGTAAATTGACTGTACACACTGTAATGGGGGAGGAGAGGGATAGAGAGAGAAAGAGAAGGAAGCAACTTAACAAGTCCTCCTGTCAGATAACATATAAAATTATCAATGTCATTCACAGAATGCACAGAGGAGCAACTCATTCAATAAGTGAGAGAAAAAAGTAAACAATTTGAAACAAATTCCAAGTCATAACGAAGGCACCTCTATGGATGCTCAAAACAAGCAGTGCTTTTGAATATTAGCAAAATGATGTTGTTGAAGGCATATGAGCAAAATTTTCCTTAAAATAAATAATCATACTGAGTTAGCTTACAACTCAACGAAGGAAAGATTATGTAAAAAGGGAGCTTTTTAATAGAATTTGTGGCCTGATGAGCAAAAAATAACTGAGAAATAAAAATTTTCACTTGAGTCCAAACTGAGTATAATCTGTCTTTCTTTGAAAACAGTTGACATATTAGGGTATCAAGTCAAAATGAATACATTTGAATTTACCATTTAGCATGGAAAGCTACACCTTTGTGACGGAGTATTTTACTAGTATATTCTTATTGGCGTCAACTTTGCACAAAAGCGGTGAGTCTTCCGTCTCCGATAAGTCGTCACTTTTCTCTTGAATATCCATTGGACGTTTTTCTGGCAATGGACTGTCATCATTGGTATCCGAATTGTGTATTTCTGCCACAGTGATACTTTGGTTTTCAGAATGCTCACTAAACGAGTCTTCTTCAAGGACACGAGGGAACTGTTCCTGTGAAGTCCAGCTACCACGGTTACTTGATTCGTTTGATTCTGAGGCCTTATCATCAGTGTTCTCTTGCATTTTAGCCTGATTACTCAGCACATACTCCGAGTGGATCTTGAAGGTGTTGGGGAAATTGTAGCGGATGCTGCCCATCGTAGATATATCTTCTTTGGAACTGGCCGAGCCGGGCTTTGTGCTCTTTGAGTCACTGCTTCCAGTGTTGCGGCGTTCATTGTACTCTGAATGCGCATAGCTCTCTGATACACTCACACCACTTGTAGAGCTTACTCGCCCAGAAGATGAGCCTGTAAAATAAGAAAGGAATCTCGTTAGTGTTGTTAAATCCATAAATTCTACTGAAAATTGAACATGCTGACGGTTAAGGTATTTTTAACTCAAATTCCAATTGATGGTAAGTATAAGCTAACTGACCTTGGGTTTACACTAAAATCAGGACCAAAAAGTCAAGCAAATTATTCTATTTTTTGTCATTTCTGTGACCATATGATATTGGGAGAGAAAATTAAATTTACTGCTCAGAGATATTCCCGGTAATTATGACCTCAGCCAATTCAATAATCAATACATACACTTTTGTTTGCGATTACAGTTTTGACTTTAGTAGTATTTAAGAAATTTGACAAAATATACGATTTGAGTAACATGTTTAAAATTTTGATGAAAGGTTTTCAAGAAATTTCATAAGTTATGCTTCCAAATATTTTGAATCCATTATTGTGTGGGTTGCTTGATAGTCCACAAATTTTATGTTGTTTTGTAACGGGTGGTTTAGTAACTACTTCTACTTTATTTACTATGTAATGTTCCAAAAACAAATTAAGTATACAGGTAAATTCAATTTTGAATAGACAAAAGAAAATAACTTATCAGTGAACTGTTACATTTTTTTTTTTTCAAAACCATTTTAGACTCAATTGTAAATTTTTTTGAAGATAAAATAAACACCATTCCTTGAAAAAGAAGAATCATGGAAGTTCTAAAAAACTGAATTTGAGTGGTAATTGCACCCTCTTACCGCGTTTTCTCAAAACTTGGGGTCTAAGGCTTTAACCCTTAAGAAAAATATCAGTTCAATTATAAAAATTTTAAAAAGAGGGAGATAAGACTTACTTGATGAGCTGTGAAGGCTTAGGCTACTTGCTAAACGATTACAAACTGCATCAGGATTAGGTTGATACTTTCCATTTTCAGACAAAGGGTGCTCTTGCGTATCTGAAAAAAGAAATCAGGAAATGTAAACATAATATACCAATAATTTTCTCCAGTCAGACGTCAAAAATTAAGACAAACAATACTAGGTTCAATTTCGTAAAAGTCAAAATACCTAGAAATTTGTGGCTCTCTGATAACATTTTGATACTTTGATAATTTGAACTAAATATATTCAGTGGTGGTAGGTAAGTCATTACTGACCAATCAGGGCAAAATAAATCAACATTAATCAAAATGTTGGTAAGATTTATGAAATCAGGTTGATACAAAACTTTTCCTTACCTATGTTCTTCTTTCACTTGATTCACCTTATCGGCACTCATATTATCCGGTTGATATAAAACTTTTTCTTACCAATTTTCTTAAAATCAAAATCGACCACCAAGTGAGAAAAAAATTGAACTAGGTACCAGCTGTGATAAAATTGGAACCTTCAGATTTAAAAGTTTTGTGATCATTCATTGTATTAATTCCTCCTCCAAAAATTATCAGACAATTCCTATATGTTTTGAAAATGGTACCACAGAACTAGGTATTGAAAGTTTACATTATATTTAAGGGAATTTTTTAGTCCGATCTAAGAATTTATTCCTCTCTTTTCCTTTTTTTCCCAACCACTTCAAGTGCCACACAAAGAGTAATCCTGCTTATTTTAAGTTATAACTTCTTGTTTTGTTCAAAAATTTTGAAACTAAAACATTCTATTCATGAGAGAGAATCATCAAAAATCTAGGTCTACTGCCAAGAAGTAACTTACGTTTTGATTTTCTGGTGAAGAGCTTCTTGATTCTTTCAAAAGGAGTCGGTCGCTTCAATTTTTCCTTCATTGAATTTTGTATTCTCTCATATTCAAGCCTCATTTGGTGAATTTGCTCCTGATGATACAGAAATAATAGAAAATGTATTAAGTAAAGGTAATGTGTAAGTAGGTAAATTTAACAGGGAATCCCTCCCCCCTTCCAAATAGGCAATTAAATACACGCCTACTCTGAGAGGTAATGCTGGAAATATGAATAATATCTAAAAAGTTATAAACCTTGTTTTGCTCTTAAGAGCAAAACTGAGTAAAATTGTTGCTATTGAAGGTGAATTGCTGTTTCCAAGAGGAAATCATTATGAAAGCTACACATGAAATTTTTATTGATGAGCTTCAAACTTTTCGAGTCAAATTTTTGTTTTGTTTAATTATTTATTTTTTTAAAGACGCTAGACTGAGAACAAATAAAAATGAGAAGTCAATTCTTGTGCAACAAACCTGTTTTTCTCTAAAAGACTGCTGAACATCATTCCGATTTCTCCAACTTTCGACTAGATTTTCTACTTCAGCAATAGTGTGAGCATGATTCTTGAAATCCATGAGTATTTCTGCCAGTTCATCTTGCGGGTTTGAATGATGAGGAAACGGTCTAATTTCTCCTAAGGCTGGACCACTACTATTTTCAGCTGTTAGGAAAAAACAGTGTAAATTTAAGAACAAGTGTAACAATACAACAATATCATAACAGTGCAATTTCACATTTTACATTCTGATTTGTAGATTTAATGAATTTGTCAATAATTATTGGCTCTCAAAAATCACAAGCTTTTAGGTACGATTAGAATAAAGAATTATGAGTAATTGATATGTATTGGTAATTTACAGTACCTATCCCCCTGATCATCCAATAATTAGAGGCGAGGGCTGCATCAGATATAAAAAAAAAATTGAATATTCGAAACCACCAACAATGGACTGAAAAATTGTCATTTGAGGCAGATGCTATAACTGGTCTGCTCTCATATTCTGGTGTGATTAAACCAAAAATTGAGTAAAAAGAAAGGTACCCGAAAGCAAATACTTTGTCAATTCAATAATCAAATTTAATTGATCATCATAACTGAATGGATACAACAAGTTGAAAAGACTCACCACTTCCAGAGGAAATGGATCCTAGGGTGTCTCTTTTATTGCCAGATTTTGATTCCAGATCAAGTTTTAAATCTCCTCTTAGATGATTCGCTGATCCTTCCCGATCTACTTAATAAACAGTAAAGAAGATTAACATTAAGGCATGTGGAAAGAGTAAAATCAGATTGGCCTAAATTGAAATATTCAAAAACCAAGTTTAACAGTGAATCGTAAGTTGTCAGCTTTTGGCAGGCATCTGATGATTAAAACTTTTAGGTTGTTATTTTTTAGAATTTCCTTGCATGAACTGGGATAGTGAATACTTTCACTTAGAATAATAGAACAAATCTCTGAAATGAATCCTTCCTCACATTTTCAAGAGAGCCACCCTTTACCGAGAGTGTGTGGAACTAATATGTTTTACAGTAGAAAAATACCTAGTCTTCAAGTCAGCAGTCCATTTTTTTATTGCTGAAAAAACAAGAACAAAAATTGTTTATTTTTGGAAAGACAAAGACCTAGCTAGCTGAAATGCAGATATTACAGTGAACAAATATGGTAGACAATTTTCAACACTAGGTACCATCTACACTGTCTTTTGATATTCCAATCTTCCAGTTGTGTTAACTTTCTCACCTCTCTTGCCAGGTCTCGACAACAGAAATAGCAAAACCAACAAAATAAGCAGCTCGTTTTCCTTGTCTTCTAAAGCATTTTGTTTTCCAATATTGTGTCCATTTTTAAATAAATACATCGGTTGAGCTTTTGAGAAAACTTACTTGAAGCACTCATATGCATATAGCCTCCAAAAGGTGGCACTCCATCCGTAGGCGTAGACGCAGCAACAGGCGAGCTAATTGATCCTTCCGTCACCGGCATTTGGTAGTTGCCAAAACTGACTGGAAGGGGCGGTGGTGGGAACTGGTAGTTTGCTCCGGCGGAGAAGCTGACAGATACTGGAGACGGAGGCACAGCATAAGATGTAATGTTAGTGTAGAACGGAGATGCTGGGGTTGAAAGAGGTGTAGCCACAGGTGTTGGAGTTGTCCGAGTAGATGGTGGAGAAATTGGAGCATTAAACGGTCGTGCGTGCGGTGGGATGGAGTATGTGTCAAGCATTGGACGAGGAATTAGGTAATTTGAATCATTGAAAGCTGCAACAAATTCATAAGGAAAACAATTACTTAATTATTATTCATTATTACAGAAGTTACAAACATTTCCATTGCAGCAAAATGGTTGTTGAAACTGGCTTAAAATTTTTAAGGCTTAAATCTTTCGGATTAAAATGCAACTTCATGGTCTCCATTAAAACTAAAATTTACGTACTAAATAACTGGCAACCTCTCCATTGGGACAATGAGTAGTTTTTATCAAAACACTTTCTAAATTCTGCTTTTTCAACCTAACTTGACTGAAAATTTGCATCCTTAAAAGTTTTTTCTCCACACGCAGGTCCCTTTTGCCATACATTTGCCTTTTGCTTATTTGCCTTTGTCCCTTTTTGCTTAAATATTTACCTAATCACTTCTTCTTGAAATCACTACAATAGACAAGTTGGAATTAAGTTTTCTAGCTGCGATATACAAGAAGATAAGGACCTGCAAATTCAATTACTGAAAAAGCTTAGAAAAAATCACAAAAAAGCTCATTATTTGACATTTCATCACAGTCAAATCTATTTTTATTGCCTCAAACGTCACTTTGACAGGAGAAAAATTCATGATGTACATCAGATTCTTTAGAGTTTACAAAAACAAATAATGCTTCTGTAGTTTTTTCTTAAATGATTCCGTTGGAATGCTTATGTACTATTAGAATTTACTTGATAGAGCTTTGAGGAAGAACTATTTCAGGCAAAAATAAACCACCTTCCTCCATTCAATGAATCAAGCATGTTAGTATTACAAAAACGCTGAGGCAAAAGAAAGATCAGAAACTAAAGGAGAATAATGAACAGATAACTACCTAATTGGCCATCACTCATGCCCTTCAGATAATGATACATGCTTGTCAATTCGGTCATTTGCTGGAAAGAAAAAACAAAATCAAGCAATGAAAAAACTATGTCTAAAACAAGTTTAGATACAAATACAACAAATAATATGTTAAAAAATCAAAAGAATGCCAATCAGCCATTTGATTATTCTACTAATTTGATGGCATAAAAGAAACTCTGAGGTCTTCAAAGATTCAAGAGATATACTTGTGTCTTTTCTGAAATATTGGCCATATTGAGAATCAATTTTGTGACGAGATGTATAATTTATATCTTTTTTTCCACACATTCTTTTTGAAAGATAATTGATAAGTATCTCTTAAACACAACTGATATCAGTAACTCAGAGGACATTATTTAACTCAATAATAAATGAACAGATACCAAATTAGGAAACTCCTTCACATTGGAGAGTAGGCAGTACCACTTACCGTTGTGCGTGCAGTATAATCTTCAAATTGAAGGCACTTTAAATGAGCTAGAATTCTGAGGATGAGGGCTGTGCTCACTGTTCAGTCGTTATTAAGTTAGCTCTTGGTCCCAAAATTTTTTTCATGGGATATCATAAAAAAATTTTTTTTTAGAAAATTAAGTTAAATTCAACAGTGCTGGTTTGGAAAACCTTGCAAGGAATGCTTTGTCTCATCAAACACACAAACCACAAAGGACAAAGTACTATGATTTTACCAACATTTGAAGTGCTTCAGTAAGGATTTACCTTTCCAAAATTCATAAAATTATATTATCGATATTACTTACATTTTGTACTTTGAACTCATTGTAATTCCTTGTGAGGACTAATTCCGAAAGCTATACAGCTGAACCTTACTGGAAGTTAATAAAATGTTTCTTTCCATAATGAAACATTAAAATCCTTCCAAAACTTATGCTGATCAAAGTGTGAACCATACAAGCCTTCCTTAAGAGAAAGAGCTATTAGAACCACTTTGAATATAACCTTGAACTTTACATGTTTCAGAGCTTTGAATAATTAATATGTAATTCTCACCAAGTATCCTTTCAAGGCATTGGTTAAACTTAGATGACCTGACTGTTCAGCCATGTCTGCTGGTGTCAGTTGAGATCCATTGCGAATTTGACATGCTTGCACTCCTCCAGGGCACTCCAGCAGCTGCCAGCACAATTTTTCCAGGCCAAATTTAGCAGCAAAATGTAACAATGTTGGATATTCTTCGGGACCTTAAAAAAATTAGAAAAAGGATTAAAAAAATACAACAACAGTACTTTTCAGTAAAAAAAAAGAAGAAAGTCCAGGCGACTAGCTTTTGATGGTTATGAATGAAATTGGGAAATTACAGAAATTCGTAGAAAAGAAGAAAAAAAAAATTGGTTGTGCTGCAATCTGAGCTGAATGTGATCTTGAACAAATGCAAAATTTTTGACTTCACATTAATCTTATAAAATGACCACTCTTCTTTCAACTTTTTTTTTGGATGGATACATCTTGTAAAATATAATTTATGTACATGGGAGAAATTTTGGAAACTTACTTGAATAAAATCTATTCTCTGCTGGTGCGAGAAGTGAAAAGTCAGGAGGGATATTCCGCTGGAAGGCAGAGACCAAGAAAGAATCAAGCTGATCTTTTTCTCCAGGACCAAGTCCAAGTGTCTAGAAACGAAGAGAGATTTTGCTTATAAAGATGTACATAGAATTATTTCATTAATATTCACTATTACCAAACCAAATTTAAATATTGCTATATTTTTGAGTGATTACAAAGGAAATCCATAAGTGTGAAATAAAAAAAAAAAAAAAAAAGAAAAACAGAGGCGTTTTCACTTTGAAAGATTGCAAAAAAGTGATGATAAAGAATGCTGGAATATGACCTTTAGTTTTGTGATCAATTTTCAAAAAAATTAATGCGTTATGCATGACCAAAATTAGATTCTTTACCCACACATTGGGAGTTCCAAATCATACATTTGTCTTACTAGTCTCAACTCCTTACTACTGAAAAATATTCTACTGAGGCAGGCACTTTAAAGTCCCCATATTTTACAAAAATGAGATGACTAAATTGATATTAACAGAAATTCAGGTCTAACAAATTCATTTCTGCAATGTTCTTAAAACCATTTTAAAACATTAGAGAGGCTTTCAAAAGTTAGATATATTTTTTAAAACAAGGATACTCTTTTTCTGACAATCTTGTATGCGCCATGCTCATTAATGAGAGTATTTTTTATCTTTTTGAGGCAAAAACTATTATGTAACAAGGATACGGTTATTAAGAATAAAATTGATTGAAACTAGTTCTACATTCTACTTAAAAAACTGCCTTACCTGACACATGAAAAATAGAGGTTTGTCGCAAGATCTTAAAATTTGTTCCAGCTCTCGCATCCGACTTTCACACTTTATTGCACGGTGCCCAAGGGGCTTTCCATTCTTCTCCAGAAAGACATTGATCAACAGGGACACTTGCAAGCAAGTTGCTGTAAAGAAATAAACGAATTAAATCATGGGAAAAACAAAATGAATCAAAAGCTAAAAAGAAAAGCTGGAAAAGATTTCTCAATCTACAACATAGCAGCCTCCCCATAATCTCATGGCTCCAGGGTGTCTACTGAAACAGGCTGGCCAAAAATCAGTACTTTGACAGCACATCATCAAAACATTCCCAAGAGAGTCAGTACCTCCTCAACAAAAAAATTCAGTACTTTTTCAGTACCTCCATTTGACGAAATTCGAAAACTTTTAAACATTGGAATTTCTCGCTTAAACTGCGACAAAAAAGACAAAAAAATTAAAAAATTCCGGACCTTCTGACGGAATTTTCGTACTTTTTTAATACTTCTGGACCACCCTTAAAAAATCAGTACTATTTCCAGACTTTCCAGAAATTCCGGACTTGTAGACACCCTGGGCTCTCTTTGATTTTTATCAAAATCTTGAGAATATTTCCAAACTCACCACCAAATTTAAAATACTTTTAAAGGCAAATACTTAAAAAAAAAATTGGAGATGGCACTCATAAATCTAGGGGGATGAAAAAACTTTAAATTCATCATTGATTATACAAATTTTAATTACACATCATGAATGTGAAATCTATTTACTTAAGCTGCAAGGCACCCAGCAGTTGCCATTATTGAACAAAATACAAAATATTTCCGAGCTTGAGTTTATGGATTGAAAGAAAATGCTTACTCTTGACCAACTTCTACATAGGTACCTACAAAATCAGCAAAATATAGGAATATACTTACGAGGAACAGCAAATTGAATCGTGTAAGGATTTTTTTTCTTGAATGCAGAGACTTCAATTTTTTCTCCGCTTTTTTCTAGGGTTATTCTGATGTTATCATCAGCTTCCAAAGGCTCCGTCAATGAAATAATGACTTTGTTCTGCCCCTAAAAAAATAAACATCGCATTTTGTACAGGAATCGAGCAGTTACAAAATAAATTAATTCTTCCGACAAGGAAAAACTTCACCTTTGTAAAACGAAAGAAACTTCAAACTTACTGCACATTACTCAGCGCAAGAGGTAAACAAATTTGCAGTAAAAGTAAAATATGAAACTGCGAACTTAAGTTTCCTGAAATCCTCCATGTCAATAATACTTCAGTTTTATTCGTATGTAAACTGTAAGTTAGAAAGTAAAGAACATAATATCAAATCCTCTCTTATTCATGAATTTGAAGTTTAAGTAATTGTGTCCAGAATGAAACTGAATTTTTAAGCTCAGTTGAGAAGGATGAAAAATAAATTTTAAATGTTATAGGTGAATGTTACAATTGAAATTCTACAATGAAAGATTGCTCATTCTGTTTTTTGTACAACTTTTATTGTATGATCTACACTCTCTCATAACAGCAAGAAGATATAAATTGGAAAAGAGGGAGCAAAAAATTGAAATCAGTTTTTTGGGGGATGAGAATTCATTTAGACTACCTGCACGAGTAAAACTTCCAGTGTTAGAGACAAGGATGGATATTGGAGTTTTTTAAAGGAACATTAGCAAGTAGGTATGGGTGGACTAGTTAATTCTAAAATCTCATGAATATCCAATTTTTGCAGAGGAAAAATATCTGGAAATGATGGATTACCATTTTTATTTTTTTAGGAAGAACAGAAAAGTGTGCTTTATCATCCAACCCAGATGCTTGACTGATCGCCATCTGGAGATGCCATGATCGACTGAAGATATCCATTGCAACTCCGAGAAAGTCACCTACGAAAGCTGGATCCTGATCCTTCACAACCAACCGGCGCCACTGCTCATTGAACATCATAGCTGCAAACGAAATGTAAAAGTTAGTATAAAATACAAAGTAAATGAAAATTTTCCGTCCGTACGGAATATAACAAAAGAATATGAGGTATGCAGAACGATAATCCGGGTATCGGAACTTGGCTGTTTTGAAAACGCCTTCAAATGCGGCGTGATACCTCACGCATTCCGGAGAGTTCAAATAGTTGTATCATTGCGCCTTAGAAATGCGACGGAAGATTACAATTTCAATAGCCTTCATGCACGCTGGCCTTTTCGATTTCCGTTAACATTTTTGCAGTCATGAATGCGCTTAAGTGCGCTTCATTTAGAATTGTATTTAGCAAATGGGTGGTTTTTATAGGATGATTATAATTAAACAAGTGGTTAGAAATGGAAACAAAAGAATATGAACTATGCAAAACAATTATTCCGATAACGGAACTTGGCTGTTTTGAAAACGCCTTCAAATGCGGCGTGATACCTCACGCATTCCGGAGAGTTCAAATAGTTGTATCATTGCGCCGTATGAATGTGACGGAAGATTTAAATGAAAATAGCCTACATGCAGGCTCGCCACGTCCCATCTCGGGCCCTGGTACCAGTTTTAAGGTCCGGGCCCCAAGCACGGAGGGGGGGTCCGAGGGGCATCCCCCGAGAAATTTTAGAATTTATACGACTAATCGGACGCATTTTGAAGCTTCTATAAATAATTTTTCCATCAATTTCTGCGGAATAATATTGTTTTTTTTTTTTTTTTTTTTTTTTTTTTTTTTTTTTTTTTTTTTTTGTTGTTTTTTTTTATACTTTCAGCACAAAATACTTGCGAATTGTTGCATTCAAAACATCTGGAAAATTTTTATTTATTTTTTTTTTTTTGGGGGGGGGCATATGATACTATTTTCAGTTCTATGAGGGCCAGGCCCCCCTGGACTCCCCCTTTGTTTGTCTATGGCAAGGGAGTTGAGTCATGCATGAGCCATTGAAGTCGAGGATGCCCAGACTGGAGACTCTTAGCATCTGACGACGGAAGAAAATGAAACGCAGTTACTAAAAATATCCCTCTGTACTGAAAAGCTTGAAAATAGATAGAAATTTTCCAAGAAGTATACTTCTTTGAAAATTTAAGAAGAATTCTACAGTGTCCCAGCGTGTTTCTGAAAATCTTTTCACCTTTTGCGAAATTTTTAGGGTAAATTTTTCACTTTTTCTTACGAAACAAGGGTTGCATGTGAATTCGTAGTGGTCTTTCACGGGTAACACGGGCCCCCTCCGGAGCCCGGGCCCCGATACTAGGGACCCAGTATCCCCCCCTCCCTTGTGGCGGGCCTGCCTGTCAATGTATTTGCTCCCTATTTTTGCATGGAGAGTTTGTCTTGATGTAGACGTAGACTCTCAGGATAGCGTGAGATATCCCCTCCGTTTTGGCCTCAACTTGAGAGCTATTTTTGAGCTTGGGAGTTGATTTCAGAAAAAAACCAGTGGCACCGTTGGGTTTTTCGCAAACTTTTACAGAAGAATCAATGGTCAAATCGCAAATTCCTCACTCATGCAACATCGATTGCTACTTATTGCGGTCTGTGCTACTTGGGCATGGTGATCGGCGTGTGATGCCTACCTCTTCGCTGCTGGTTGGTGAAGTACTCCTCGTTGACGCCGAGAAGCATCGCGAGGACTTTGCCGGACTGAAGAAGGGAACTGAGCCCGGGGCTGGAGGGCGTGCAGTTGTCCAGGCGACTCAGGAAGTGCGGGCAGACGATGACGATCTGGAGCCGGGCGTGCGACAGTTTCTCCTGCTCGCTCCAGCTCATCGCTCCCGTCAACACGTCCTCGATGTGCACATTCGCGATCCTGCAAAACCCAAATGTTTCAGTCAAAGTTAATAAAGAAGGAGAGAAAGAAAAAATTAATTTCACACCATTACAGCAAAAAATGGGCATTTGAACCGGATTTTGCAATTACTAGGAACTAAAATTTCCAGCTCACTTAAGAAACGACGCAATTGCCATTAATTTTCTTATGAAGATAGAAGATTTTACAAATAGAGCAGATATTGTAGTTGAGGGGCTTGGAGGACAAGGCGCGTGAGTGCCGTTTTTGCTATGTCGAGAAGTACGTGTTTTAAGTTTGGAAATTACATGGATCCTTACGGTGGAAAAAAAGTTTATACTGACTTTTTGATGCTTAAAAATTGGAATATGGGAGCAAATTTTTCACAGAATATGCATTAAGACTATTTATACTTGTAATCATTAATATCTCAATTTTTTTCAAAAACTGCACTTATGCGCCTTGTCCTCCAAGCCCCACAGTTCCTAACTGCAAAATAAAGTCTATTTTGTGTTAATATGGAAAGTAGACCACTTAAGTAGCCAAAACGTCCAGTTAGTATTTTTTAGTTACTTTTTCTTTAAGTTACATTGGCCCAATTTTTGGGTTGAAAATTTGCAACCTTGCGTTCAAAATTAGACGCAAGCCGTTAGGGCCGAACCTAGAGTGCATTAGTAATGGTTCAAAGCGCCAGCTGCAACTTCGAGTTCGGTAAGGCTAAAAAAGTGTCATTGGGTGATGGTCTTGTGTTAATTCTAAATGCACTGATAACGCCTGGATGCACCTATTCATGCTTCACGGGTGTCTGCGTTGCATATGCAAAAAACTGAAGGCGCACCGGCTTTCTTAAAGATGACAACCACATGCAGCTATTCTTTCTCAACCTGTGCCAGTGTTGCATCGGTAAAAAATCAAAATGCGCCGTTTTTTGTACTAGCAGAGCAACACGACGACGCAACACACAATCTAAATTTAAAAAAAAAGTTTCAAAAACGAGGAGCTGCCCGTGTGGCTGAGCTAACAATTGAGGACAAAAACGTATGGATTGCAAGCGATTCCGTGACGTATCATTTGAGGGACCTCAGACGGCATCTTCATGAGGAATCGTTGAGGCACTGATAAGAAGAAGAAAAGAGAAAAAGGAAAACCTTGTGAAAGAAAAATGAGGAATGTTTACGACATGGAAAGTGGCAGCGTCTCACTGCTTATTTTTTCTCTTCGTGAAAAACTGTGTATGAGAGTGTCTCGCGATACCGATATAATTTGTTTATTTTCAATTTAACAAGTTAAGTGAATCTCCGCAGTTCTTAGAAATCGAGAGCCCTACGGAGATACCCGACATCCAAGTTCTAGGAAACAGTTATCACTAAATGGACTGTTCCTGATGCTCTTTTATGATTCAAACGTTTTTGTTCTATTCTTTTTCATCTAGATGGGAAATTTTTGCTGCTCTAAATCAATCATAACATTCTAATTCTTCGAAATCAGACAGTTAGACGCGTAACTTATCAATAAAATGCGGCCTACAGAGCGTTCATTAATTCTTCATCAAAATCCTAGGGGCGCCCTGCATTTGTTCAGGGATCTTTTCAGGAGAGTACTATAAATCTTCACACACAGGCATCAGAAATAGTTGAGCATCGAGAGTAAATTACACCTCAGTTCGATTGCCCTATCATCTAGTATTACTATTTACAACCTCAAGTTGTCGAAAAGTTTCTGTTTTTGCGCTTGAAGACAGCAGTCACCCTGTAGTTTACGATTACTTTAAGTTTTTTCTGTAATTACTACCACCGATAAGCGTCTGAAGATGTGCACTTTGGCATGAGTTATCAGACCCATGTTATCAGTTAAAATGAATGAAAAAATGAAGTAAATTTTTCAAGTGGCTAATCGGTAACTAGAATGGTATCGGTATCTGAAACTGATAGTTTCAGACAAAAAATTGTGCAGTTTGTATTCCCTTGACTTTGGAGAGTAAAGAAAGTAAACATTCATCGCAATCAATACAATGCAATCGTAACTTTTAGTGGATAATTTCCATACAATACTAATGGGTAGTGATTTTATGCTTAAAAAAAAAAAAAAAAAAAAAAAAAAAAAAAAACCACTTTTTAAGCTAATAACCCAAGGATTGAATGTCCTGTTGAAGTGCTAATTTTTACCTCCCTCTCCTGCGTGTGATCCTGCAGAGGCGGTCGAAAGAGTGGTAAGAGGGGGAGAGGAGAATACTTTGAAACTCATAAACCACTATCTGTTTTATTTATTTAAAAAATAAAAAAATAAATAAAAAAGATGGACCTGGTTGAGAAAATTAGCATCCGTTTCACTAACTCTTCAAAATAAACTGAAAGTCCATCTGGTTCCTTGCTCACTATGAAAGTCTCAAACTGAAATGAAACTTCTCGATCATCTTCAGGTCAATTATTCATTTTCAGAGATCTGGGAGATCAAAATCTAACATGCTGGTCAACAAACCTGAAAGGGCTTCTGGCTTGCTCCCGGGCAATTTGCTGAAAACAATGTGTCAGGTAATTGGCCCATTGCGTTGAGCCCTCGCTCTGTCCATAATAAACCAGGAGGATATCTAGGATGTCGCTGCACTTCATGCCTCCTGAAACAAACGCCACAAACCATAAATTACAGAGAGCTGAGGAGAATTTCATCATTTTCGAGACAAAAATTACGACAACTAGCTTACAAACTAGCTCAAAAAATTACAACATCAAACCTACTTAAATAACAACTTAGAAGAAGTAGTACCATGCGATATTCTGACAAACGAGTTATTGGTAGTCAGCACAATGACGTCATGATTTTCATCAAAGACTTAAACGCTGATTAGAAAAATACACTGATTAGGATTTCGGATCGTCTTGTTCTCCACTTAGACAAAAGCGCTTCCCGAATTCTGAGTAAAAAACGACGTTAAAAGTTTGAAAGCCAAGAAGTTCACTTTGATTGGACGGTTTCGGAAGTTGACTTTCTAACGCTGGACACGATGCGATTTAAAATTTTGTTGGATAATCAGCACTCCGTTGGATACACATCATCGTTGTTGTCAACAACATCTTCCCGGATGGTGTGGACAACTTGGTCATACAAAGACTCGTAATTTTGTCTTTCATTTGTGTACTCATACATTTTCGTGGCAATAAATCTAATTTATTCCTAATCAGATAATGAGGAAATTTACCGTATATTTCACAGCAGAGGCAATTGAGAAGTGACTGATTTCTATCAGGGTCCCATGAGCTGTGGAGATCCAATATCGGCGTGTCACACCTGTCGCACATTTTGCTTCCGAACGCGTAACTTAAGCGCTTTTAACAAAACTGGGGATTTAAAATTCGCGGGGAAAAAGTCACGGTTCAGTGAAAGCGTTCGGCAAGCTTCTAAAAAAATTGCATTAGTTTCTGATTCATCTTTGTCCTTCACTATTTTGCATTCATTTCCAGAAGCTGTCAAGATCTTAATCTACCCGCAGGTATGAAGTTAGTTCCACGGAGGCTTTAAGAAAATCCATCTACTGAGAGTACGATTCAAATTATTAAAGAATCCGAGGATTTAGAACCAAAATTCTCATGAATCTAGGACTGACAACCTTCCTGACGTCTGAAAAGTAAAAGTAAAAACGAAAAAAAATGATCAGCTGGCCGTTCCCTTGAATCATTCCCCATTTCAAACTCAAGGAAGGCCGGTCTTTATTTAAACTTTGTAATTTCAGACGCCACTATTAGAAATGTTTTCCGAATTCAATAAAAAGCTCACGAGAATAAATTCAAGTTGTACGAGTTTCCAAAAGTCCCAGCAAATTCCTGAATTTTTCCGACTGATGCATTTTCTTTTTACTTTGATATACTTTCGAAGTTTTTTGTGGCACTTTCAGATCGAATAAAACGGGTGATAAAGACAATAAAGACCTCAATGTGGATCATTTTATGCGTGATTTGCGGTAAAGAAGGAGAGAAAGTGATTCAAAAGCTTTGAGAAGAGCAAGACTTCGAACTAAATCGTCAGCCTCGTGTAACCTTCTTGCCTTCTTTTGTTACGGTATCCAAACGAGGCTTGACAATGGTAGTAACGTAATGAATGCTAATTGAAAGCATGACTGACGTCACGTTGTAACGCTTGGACGTCACAGACTGACAACGGACGTCATTCATCTACCTTTGATGTTCGATTGCGATTCGATCGGAGTTTTACGCAATTGGTTCGAAATGCTTTGAGGTATTTCAATCAAAAACGGACACACTCTCAAAAAAACCAAAAAGATTATTTGCTTGTAGTTAACCAAGGAGTAAAAATCCTAGCTAGCACTGTTAAAGCAGCCTCTGGTCAAGTTTTTGTTTTTCTTGACAATTCGGTCGATTTCGATTATTTTACGAGCTAAGGGTAGGATGCTGGAATCGTTCAAAAACAGTAAGTTTTACCTCATTGTTACTACAGAAAGTACTTGAACTGATCCTACTCAATAATTGGAACACAAAGAAATGTTGTAAAGGTCCTTTGTCCTCTGAAAGGATAGGTGGGGGTGACAGTGGTCGGTACATTCACGTGTAGCCGACCACTTATTGAAAGAACCAACTTCGTTATAATGCAGAGGAAAATAGTTGAAACTTAAGGGAAATTTTCCGCATACGTCCCAACTGCCTAAAAACAAACGGGTTTGCTGGCGCTGACAATACCGTTAGTCGGACTGAAACACTTGAAAATAAGCAAAAATTGGAATTAGTTGCGCCAATTTTAAGCGGCGAGCTATCCATAGAAAATGGTCGGACCGTACAGAGAACTATACGGACGAAAATTAAATTTTGAAAACGTTGAAGGGTCCAAAACACAAACTTATAGGGAAACAGACGGAAAAAACCTGCGCGTCGCACACACGAGGACTAAATTCACGTTGTTCACAAGAAAATTAAAAGCAATCCCGAAAAAAAGGGGTTCAGGAGGGATTAAAACCTGACACTGGACGATCGACGATGATAGGAAGGCTTTAGGGTAAGTTTCACTATGTCAAACACACACGGCGTGGATTCCTTAAGAAACCGGAGGAAAAACTAACCGACAACTTGCGGAAAACTTATAGAAAACGCGGAAATGACAAATTTCAGAAGGAGGGTTCGCTTGCGGAGAAAAAGGGCGCGGGTAACTAAACAATTATGCCGACCGTGCAGGCACAGGAACGGGTGGTGCTTTCGGCCAGATTGCTTCAAAAACCAAGTAAATGAAAACATTGACAGGACGAGCATTGAAATCAAGGTACCTGAGAGACAACTGGCAACCCTGTCTATGAACGTTGTTGTCAGACTGTAATAGAAATGTATAATACCATCGAAGAGGTGTAAGATGCGGGGGGAGTCGAAAGCTCAAGGGTGATCTGACAACTTATGGTGACGGGCTTTGACACGCGGGGTGAATATTAAGATTCATTAAAGCGTCAATTAGAGTTCTTCATCGGGCATCGAGCGATGAGTAACGACTCTCATCGCGAATTAATCGGTCGTTACTCACCGTCCATCGGTGACACGGAAACGAATCACAGCAGTGACGGTGACTAGGACTGATCTAAGCTCATTTTATGAAAATTAGCAAATTTTCTTCCTAAGTTCGGATCTTCTGTGGATGGTCATGTAACGTTCGGCCTTATAGATAATCAAAAATTCAAATCAGATTGATAAAATTCGAGGATCACCAATGTCATTGGAACTTTTTTAGAGCCAACTGACGAACTGGTTCCAAAATAATTCAGGAACTTAAAAAATTGCGTTTCGACGGCACAAGGAGGGAGGCTCGGAACCGAAATAAAATGCGCCACCTGTGGATTCTGGGGGGGGGGGGATAATTCCCGTCCTCGAAAACAAATTATTTTCTAATTGATTAAGTGGATTTTATTTAGGTTCGGAAGTTCGGAACTATTTTTGCGCCCGATCCTTGCAGCTGCAATCTTATTCGGGTTCGGAACTTCCGATTTGGCAATGGGTCAAATACCTGAAGCGACAACTCGAAAGCCCCCCTCCCCGAACAAAGAGACAAAAGCAAAATAAAAAACTATCGCAAGTTTCAAAACTCGAAACGCGTTATCCTTCACGTGTTTGATGTTCTAAAAAAAATGGTATAGGGAGGGGAGGAGAGGAGCTATGTCGAAGATGTGCGACGCAAAGCCGGAGCAGTTTCCCAACATTTAGACAATGATATTTTTTGCGGCCTCGCTTTTTAATCTCTACGCTCCTAAGCACCAGAAATCAGTGCGCATCTCAGTGTCACAATCGTCCGCAACAGGACATTTTCTATTTGTTTTTACGAGAGATGCTCGGCACTCACTGTTACTGCTAGCTGCCTCTCCTCCTCTCCACACTATTCCACGCTGCCGTGCTAAGGAAGAACGCCGTAAGAACATTCGAGAGTTGCCAAAATTCCTTCGATAAAATGTTTATTTTTGGGGACACTTATGAAGATCTTTCCTTGAAATTTTGAGGAACTTCAGGTGAAATTGTGAACAATATTATCTAAAAAAAACTGGAAGAAAAATATTCAAAAGTTTGCCAGGAAATTCGTGTTTTATCGAGGGAAATTTGGCAACGCCTGAAGGTTCATACGGCGTTTTTCCTTGGCATGGCAGTACGGCTGTATACTGTTATCGTGCGGACGGCTTAAAGAGCGTTGTTACTCGTTGGATAATGTTAGAGCTTCTCAAACACGAAACACTCGAAAGGAAAGGTTCTCCCACGCTTTCACTCCTTCTAGCCACTTGGGCGTCGAATGTTGTCGTAAGACGATGTGAGTGGATAATTCAAGTGTTCTCCATGCATTAGAGACTTAACCAATCTTTAAACATAAAAATGTATGATCCCTTAATTTTCACCACTCAATGGCTTTCAAAATTCAGGGCTATTCAAAAGGCCGAATTCCTGGGAGTTATTTTTAAAATTTTGGACGGGGGCGCCACCGCCGCACAATACGTCGCCATAATTGTAAATTGAATTGTTACACGTGAAATTCTGTCGATCACTTTCAGTGGAAAATGGTATCACGAAGAAAAGATGCAGGAGAGCTAATTTTACCGGTAGTTACTGGGAAAATAACCACTACAAAATTACAATTTTGAGTAACTTTAGCTTCTGAAAGTATCCCTTGCACTCGTCGCCACCTCCCTTTTTTTCACTCCCTGAGAGGATGAGGCGCGAGGAGGACATTTTACCTCCCCCTTGAATCCACCAATGACCACTTGCTTCCCTCTTTATCCGCAAGAGTTTGAACGGAGGCATAAACGAGAGGCAGTAGTTTTTATGCCTACTCCGACCATGTAAACTTTTTCGTTGTGGGATGCAGTGAAAAGATTATTCAAATAGGACCGAAATGCAAGCTAGGGCAGATCTGTTTTGTTTGTATGCTTTTTTGAGGAAATAAAAACAATCCTTCTGGAATTGACGCTCCTGCCTATGACTTCAAACAGCACGATACACATTTCCGACGGCGGCGCAGGATACAGACATTCCGAGGGAACAGGAAACGTCGAAGGCTCCGATTCATTTGGATCGGTCAAAGTTATAACCCAACAGGTCATCCACTGATGGACTTTGCAATACATACATTCTGATGAGCATCAGAGCT